AGGATAGAAAAATTTCTATGCCAGTTTTATGATGCATGAAGTTTGGATGGTGATCAGCGACATGTCTCGTTTACCCTGTCCTTAGAAGGTCTTCTGTAGTGCCACAACTCAAACACCTTTTCAATGATAGAGACTGGTTTCCTGTCTCCCTGATAGAGCCGAAGTACTCAAGAAGGCTGGCTGCTTCGAGGTTCCCCAGATAAATTGAAAGTTATTTGGTTGTAATGTCTCCACGAACATGTGCCCAACAACGACGACGGGGAGCTTATAGACAACTGGAAAACTCACGGGGTGTGTGTGACATTGTCTATCTCTCTTTCTCCAGAGCTCGAGAAGCTAGAACCATGGAAGCGAACCTTAAGCAAAATCCGAAACAATTAAAAGGAGGCAATAGTGACGTATAAATTGATTAAACCCCGTTTCTAAGGTGTTTGTTAGGCATACAGAGCGTACAGAAGACGGAGAAAAATGATATAAGTTTAGCCTGCTATATGCCAAACAAAAAAAGAGAAAAACCTGTAATATCAGGACATCCATGTACAACAACTTCTTAATACATGCCTTTTATGTACTACATATAAAGTGAGAAAGATATACAGTGTGTGAATTGAAATGTGTCAGAGCACTTTTCCACACACACACACACACACACACACACACACACACACACACACACACACACACACACACACACACACACACACACACACACACACACACACACACACACACACACACACACACACTCTCTCTCTCTCTCTCTCTCTCTCTCACGCTCACACAAACACACACACACACACACACACACACACACACACACACACACGCACAACTTTATTCCATGCCCGTGTGTGCCTCCAGAAAGTTACGCAGGAGATACAGAGAGAGTAAAAACCATTACACCCCCCTCCTTTCCCAGCTATTCGTAAGCCTGCCATTCAGCAGATGGAGCGAGCGTTCTTATTCTACAGGGTCTGCGCAAGCAAAAGGAACTGTGCAACATAAAGCATTTCAGTCACGCACGAAGTTGGTCGGTGAACAGAAACGAAGAACTTTGTCAGAAAGCACGGAATTGCGGCAATTCTCTGCTCGTAATGTGCACCTTGTCATATCCCGCAGCCAATGCTGTGACGTGCGCATCACTACTGCAGTCTTCTTCGAGTTCTGGGGCTTTGCCAAAAAAAAAAGGAAAAGAACGCCATCTGCTCCGTGCACTACTTGTCTTTTACTTGGCCAGGTATACAAGACATGTTAGCACTGAAGCTCTAGAGGCCTCGTCAAACGGGGAAAAGTTGTCGTTTACGTCATGATGAAGTACCCATGTGACGTCACATGCGTTGTGTGATATGTGTTATATAACGTCACGATGATGTCGCATGCATAACATGACGTCTTGCTATGTCGCATTATTGCGATACCTATGTGGTCACCATGGCGGCATTGGAAAGACGTGGTAGTATTGTGCGATGTTGTCACGTGATGAAGTAATCACACTATATCATCGCATGGTCTAAAGTGGATAGATTGCGAAGGGAATGAAAAACAAGGTGACGTGCAGAGAGTTTCCTGCCTTTCGAATAAAAGATAGGGAGATTGAAAGAAAGGAATATACAGAGAAACACTGCTGTGTTCCATTGTAGTGAACGCTGGATCTCGGCCACGTCATGTTGCACTGTAGATAGTCGAGTAATATTGTTTACTGAAGATTGACAAGTACTGGACACAGGCTATCAAGCACTTGTTGCACGGAGAGAGATGGTGAGTTGCGCTTGCCGACAAACATGCGAAGCGCGCCTAAAAGCGACTGAAGAACTATGAAGACTGTTTTGTCTTCAGGCAACTGAACCTGTCGCTGATTCAGTTTCCGCTGTTACCGATGTGCACTGTGACTCGGCACGTCCCTGTGACTTCGGCAACGAGGACCAAGCTGTGTCAGATAAGTCCATGCCTTCAGTGGTGTTGTTCATACCCACAGTCCTTCGATTGGGTGGCAGCCTTGCTTAGCAGCTTCTGGCCTTCATAACGCTCTTATACTCGTATAACAATAGCACTACCAGGTTTTTTTTCTTTTTTGTAATGATACTTGTACGCTTTCTCTAAAATAAAAAAATTGCACATGGTCATCGAAGTACCAGTGCAACTAAAATGTCTCTATACAAGAAAAACAAAAGTTGTAAACAACTTTGGTTGTTTTCGCAGTTTGACGGACGATGGGAACACTTGCCATCGTTTTCTTATTGGATGTCTGTCTGTAGGTCTTTGAGCCTTGACGTGAAGGCAGTGAGTCAGCATCTTTGCTTACGTATGATCTGCCTACCCAATTTCCAGCTGCGCTTTCATCATTTCTGGTGTTTGAAGAGCTCTGCAAACATTCGTGAGTTGCAATGTCGCACCTTTCTTTAGTAATATGATCATTGATTTTGTTATGTATGTTAAAAATACATTTCTTTTGCTTGTGCTTAACAAAAAGCTGTTTCCTCATGAAAAAAAGAAACAAAAAAGCCATGAGCAATTTCATAGATAGCGTAAAAAGCACACGAGGCTTTAGAGCTTGAGCTTTGGTATTTTGTAGGATTAGGGCGTAGCGTGAGTGACACGTGACATAAGAGGATACAACGCAGACGCACATACGCAGTCCACTAACATTTCTACTATATAGAAAATTACGCGGCCCGCCATACATCACCCGCGACTAATAAATATAACGGAGCCACCAAGTGTCTATAGCGTGAAAATCATTGATCCCTATTCTGGGTGAGATTACTAACTTGCTTAGAGGGCCCTTAAACCACAGCGAGTTCAAAGGTGAAACAGCAGCTGTTTTCTCTACCTTAATGACCAACTTGAAGGGCCCTTTATCACCCCGCAACCTTGACTGCGCATGTGCAGTTAAAAACCTTCACCAAACTAACCTAAAAAAGAACAGCAAAAATGAAAAAAGTGCTGCTTTGCTCACCTTGTCTAATTAATTCCTGCCGTTTAACCATGCCGCCTATAGAAAATCTTGTGTTAACCTTCTAAACCTTTGACCATGTCGCATAAGCTAAGGCCTCTTACGGGCGCAGCCAGAAATGTTTTTTTTTTTTTTGATGGCGTTAGGATTTCAACACTCTTTTATGAATTGTTTTCGGGTGTGTGCTTGCATGCATGTGCGTATTTTTTACGCATCGAAAATATTAAAATTTTGAAGGTGAACCCCCGCGAACCACCCTCTGGCTTCGCTACTGCTGCCTTTCGTACTTCCTTTCACACGGCACCTCAGACCTCCGTCCGAACCAATCGATCAACCAACCAATTAGCGCAAAAGCTTTAGACCTGTGGCGTAGCTCTCTCTTGCGCATTCTTCTACCCCACTAGCCATTGGTTCTCGAACAGACTTCGACAGACAGTAATGAATCACCTCTCTCACTGCACTGCTTGCCACTCCATTACTGTTTGATACACAAAACTTACGGAAAATATATTGTACTGTACCAACTTGTCATTCAAACTCTTCAATGGTCGCAAGTGGTCGAAACGATTAACTTGAATATATACTACACGTGCACTATTTCAGTCGTATTCGTATTTTCCTAACCAATTTAGGTCCGCAAAATGGACTGCATGTTGCTCCGCTCTCGCGTCTTCTTTCATAGATGTATACTAGCTAATCTTCTTGTAGCGTTGCATTGGCTATTCTCTCTGCTGTTCTTTCTCTTTCCACCCTCTCGCTGTACTTGTTACTGCTAGATAACAGCATCGAGCTATAACAAAGAACCAAGAAAGCCCGTGACCTTTTTACTGTTTGGAAATACACTTACGCACGGCACCTTCGGCGCTATAGGAGATCAGAACGGTGTTCCTGTCGAGCACATCCAGATGAAACACAAAGCGAAACGTCGAAGTCTAAAAAAATATAAAGAGAAAGCAACCGCAACGCAACCAGATTTCAAGGCCGATCAAGGACGCACGTTACGGACAGTTGGAAGGCGGCTGCCTTCGCTTCACGAGTAAAACGCGTTTACAATTCCGATATCGAATACGCAATCACACGCGTATAAGGCAGTGCGAGCGGAGATAGGCAGAATTGCTGTTTTTCGCACGCGCTTCGCCTCAGCAGAGACAATATAGCGAGGCGGGAAGTCGATGATTTCCACACCTCGTGCCGATGATTCCCACGGCTACGAGCGAGGAATCCGTTAACACCGCTGACACCTTCAGACGTCGGCACCCTCCACATATGTGCCAAGCGTAGAACGGCGGCTGCGTGGCGAGCGTTCGCTCCTCGTGCAGCCGATAAGTAGGTAAATGCCCTGCTCGTGACGCAGCCTCTTAACCTGACTGGTTGCTCAACGTATATACCATATCACGGCGTGGTGCCACCTGTCTTTCGTAACCACCGAAGGTTTGTCAAATCTCGCGTTACTATTAAGTTGCTATACTTGCATCAAACCAAAGCAAGAACCCCATACAAGTGCTTGGTTAGCTCTCTGTATGCTCTCCCTCTCTCTGTTTCGCCCGTGCCCTTAATCGTTAGGGCGCGACTCAAGTTTTGTGCGGGGTCGTCGGCTAGACGCGGGTGCACTCGAAACGAGCCGTGAGGCTTGTACTTCCAGGTGCGACGGCGTCACAAACTCGTTCCGTTTCACGTACATGCTGGTTCATTAAAGGACTCTTTCTTAGGGATGAACACAGTCGCCGACCGTGGGAAATTGAGATTAAGAAAAAATATAAAAAGCGCGTTTCCGCGTCTGGGGCTGAGCCAAGAATGACTCGCTCTCCGCGGTATGTCGATCGCGCAACACCACGTGCGACAGTTGCTTCCTTCTGTCGCGCGCGTGGCTTTTGAAAAGAACCGCCTCTATCTGTGTTTTAGGAGCGCGTTGTAACTGATGGGACATGCAAGTGGCGAGGGCTGTCACTGAGCTGAGGGTTGGGGAAATGCACGCTACACGCCTCCCCCGGGCTGCGCAGCGCTTATACAATTGCGTGGAAAGGGGCTGAGCACACGGTGCGTAACATTCGCGGCGAAAGTAGCAATCTGACGTTGCGGAAACGAGAGAGGGTCCCCTTCGCTTAGCTTAAGGAAAGGACCGCAGCCGCATCGCGTCACCACGATACCCGCCGAATAGTGAGCGATCGCCTGCTACTTACACGAGCGCACACAGTGACGAGAAGACAGTAACGGAGACGGCGTGATTTCTGGGCGTGTATAGCGATGGCGACCGACATCGTGAATGAGTCACTGACGGCTCCTTTGTTGTGGCCAACTGGAGTAAGCTTCTTCGAAAGGCTATGGTCGCACAGGGATCCCCGGGTCAAAGAGTGGGGCGGCATAACGGACGCCCGGTTCATGTTCCCGCTACTGGCCGCCTACGTCTACTTCGTCAAGATCGGTGGTCCCCGCTGGATGAAGGACAGGCCCGCGTTCGAGCTCAAGGTTCCCATTCTAGTCTACAACCTGTTCATGGTGATTGCCAACGCACTGTTCGTGGCTAAGTTCCTCAAGCACTCGTACATCGGCGGCGGGTACAGCTTCTTCTGCCAGGGTATCGACTACTCGGCCGTTGACGAGAACACCACGACCCTTCTGACGACAGCGTGGTGGTACGCGTTCGTCCGGATAGGCGACTTCCTGGACACCATATTTTTCGTGCTGCGCAAGAAGAACTCGCACGTCACTTTCCTGCACGTCGTCCACCACTTCCTGGTCGTCTTCGACTGCTGGATTTGGATGAACTTCGGCCACGACGGCCAGGTCATTCTGGGTGTGTGTGTGAACGCGTCCGTCCACGTGATAATGTACGCCTATTACTTTCTGGCCGCTCTGGGACCGGAGGTTCGCAAACACCTCTGGTGGAAGCGGTACCTAACCACCATCCAGATCGTCCAGATGGTCTGCGTCGTGATGCACATGCAAATTCCGCTCTTCTACGACTGCGGCTATCCGAGCGCCTTCTGCATCATCGAGATTCTGCAATTGTGCTTCGGCATAGCGCTGTTCGTGAACTTCTACTTGAAGACCTACAAGTCGCGGAGCAGCGGAGTTTCGGACGCAGCGAAGGCGCGTAAGACTGAGTGAGTTTTTAGACGCGAATGGCCTTTCATTCGATGTGCGAACATTTCAGTGACCTTTCGCGTCGTGCATTTCTGACGAGCTTCCTGTATATTGGGAGCAGCGTGGAATATTTTTTTTTTGCCCCTGAATATTTGTGCGCTGTCTATTTTGACGGCGTATTCATACGCTTCTCCCTGCATGTGAGATCACCTGTTAACATTCGCGACGTAGTGCCCGCGAAGATGAAGTGTTTGATGTCGCCATTTTATCATTACAACTGATTAACGAGAATATGGGTGTCACCTACCCTCCTTTGCAAAAGGCCAAGCTACGTGAACACATAACAATCGTTTATTGAGAAGAAACGCACCATTTCATCATTGTAGAGGATCGCAAATATTAAGCAGCAGTTTTTTCTAGAAGCGTTTTCACTTTTATTAAGACACGCCTGACTAGTGGTGGCATGCTGTATTTTAGCTTGTTTTGTACGTGTATGTGAAAAAAACAAAAACAAATCCACTTCTTGCGTGCGACGTCTTTGTACAAACTTTGCACGTATTACACGTTTGCTTGTATATGTGTGTAATAAAACAAATCGCCAACCATATTTTGCGTCTTTAGATTTAGTCTTTCGTATGAGCTCATTTGTTCTCACATTGTTCAGCGCCCGTTGGCGCTCGCTCGGGGTTGTGGTTCGCGAGAAGTTACGAATTGCTTACCAGTCGTTAACTTGCCTCGGTGATTGTCAAAGCCCGTGTGCTCAGGGCGGAAGCATGCTCGGGCTACGTATCGGTCAAATTTATGAAGACGATCACGTGCATCGCCGACGAAGTTTTCGGAAAACGCCCGGCTGCAGCATATCCTGCTGAATGAACACTGCAGTCAGGTGACGTTGTGTTGTTTATCTGTTCTTTTATGGAGTCATTCCTCTAGCTATGTGAGACTTACTCGAATTTCGTTTGTTAGGCTCGTTTCAGGAAATTATAGTGTGAAACTTGGAAAGATTGTTTAGCTCTACAGCTGTAATAAACTAAAGCATCGAGTGTACCAAATACTGCTTATCTCGGCATTTAGCACAAGACAATGACCGAGGGACAACCGACCAAGCATACACCGACTCATGTGACGTGCGCTACATGTTGAACTGGCAACATACCCATTCTCATGGTAGTGCTTATTATATGCGATAAAGATACGGTACAGCCACATTAGCGTACGATACACCCCATGATGACCATGCCCCGCCGCGGTGGTCTAGTGGCTAAGGTACTCGGCTGCTGACCCACAGGTTGCGGGTTCGATTCCCGGCTGCGGCGGCTGCATTTCCGATGGAGGCGGAAATGTTGTAGGCCCGTGTGCTCAGATTTGGGCGCACGTTAAAGAACCCCAGGTGGTCAAAATTTCCGGAGCCCTCCACTACGGCGTCTCTCATAATCATATAGTGGTTTTGGGACGTTAAACCCCACAAATCAATCAACCCCATGATGACCCACACATAATTTGCACACTTATTAGCCAATATAGCTGCGAAAGCTATGTTTCAGTTATCCCTCCAACGTCATAACGACCCCAGCCACAGGGACCACCACGAAAACTAAGCTTTTTAAAAGCGAATGGACGCCAAGGTATATGTAAGCTGGTAGCGTAACTTCCACAAAGCCCTTGGATCCCGTAGTCCGCAGCTCGTTGCCATCATCGCCATCCGCGTGAGAAGGGGACAACAGCCAACAAAAAAAAAAAGAATAAATTTTGACGTCAATACCGGAAGCGGTAGCGACGTAGCGCATTTACCCTACATGGCGCGAAATTGTAATTTTTCTTAATTGCTGACCTTTCATGTGCCATTCTCAATACGCGATTTTGTAGCGCCTTGTGGGTCGCTGATTGCATGTGGGAAAGAGAAGAAACAAAAGAAACATTGAGAAAGCAAAGTTGTTTTACGATCCAAATGACGTATACTTACAATATGTACAAAAAACTTGGCCGAGGAAATTGTGAGACGACTGTTCACGAGCACGATAGCATAATAGTTTTTAACGCGCACCCAAATATGAGCACTCGGGCCTACAACATTTCCGCCTCGATCGGAAATGCAGCGGTCGCAACCGGGATTCGATTCCGCGACCTGCGGGTGAGGAGCCGAGTACCTTATAGCCACTAGACCACCACGGCGGGGTCATTCGTTCTTACCGAGGTGTGTTGGTTGAAGGACACGTTGCTCTGAAATGTCCAGCTCTAAAATTTCACACCAGTAAACGGCACATAAAAAATAAGTAATTAAGTAAGGTACGCACGAAGCCACAACGGAAAAGTGAGCGATGCCCTGTTTACCTGGTGATGCGCCGAACCAAAGAACACACTGAACTAAACGCAAGCTCTGACATCTAATTGCCTAGGTACGCCCCTTCCCCCCTACCCCATTTATGTCACTGGACGAAAAATTGAAGCAATCAATCATTTAGCCAGGTGTGAGATACACCATAAAGTAAGTTTATAGTTAACTTTGACATATATAAAATTACGACTATTTCAAGACAAAAAATTTATGAGTTCTTAATTTTTTTTGTCCCCTCCTCTCTTAGTCGGGCATCAATCTTCAGTGGACCAAAGAGCGACTGATGTTCAAACCGGCAGAGGCTGCATGCGAGCGACCGGAAGTCGCAGTAGCGGAGAGTCACGTCCGGATCTCGTTATCAGTGAGAACTCTGAAGACCGGCGCCGATCAGCTGATCACCGCCAACTGAGTGAGCGGAGCAAACCGAGCGCGCCGCATTTGTTGTTTTTATCAGTCTTCGCCAGCGCAATGAAAAAACAAACAACGAAAATTGAGCATCGCTGATTGGTTCCTGCAGATTTGCGACCACAGTCACGGGACAGAAAAATCCGTCAGGAAGCGACTAGCCAAAAGCAGTCGCTTTGCGACCGTTCGCGACTGTTTGTGACCAGTCGCATGTGGTCACGCGACCGCTACTATATAGTCGCTGGTGTGCACCAGCCTTAAGTTCTTGCGAGCTTTCTTTCGCGGGCAAGAATGCAAACGTGTTGTTTTTGTCTTATCTGTCTGCTCTCGAATGGCAGCCTTTCAACCAGACATAGATAACGCATGGCTTCGTGAATGCCGGTTCATACGTGTGATTATGCAGGTGTAAATAATCACGCTCCGGGGTTTCATTTCGCGCACAGTGACGTGACATTAAAGCTATAAGAATGAAGTTTTTCATGACGTTGCATGCCGAATGATTACGTGATCATTTGCTTTTGAGATGCGCAGCCGAGATCACCTCGATGAACTTACTTGAAATGCTGCATAGCAATAATATTAACACGATATGAAACCTCAAGGAAAAAGAAAGGACACGTACCTGTTTTGTCACCTATATCGAGGTGTCATCTGGGGCTAAAAATATTCACTATGGGCTCGCGCCAACTATAAATGTAACTATAGGTGTCTCTATAAATGCAACTATAACAATACCCCTATACAGAGCATGGTGTTGCACTATATTAAAATATACCTTTGACTTGCATATTCCCGAACGTGATAATCGGCACAACAATAACCGTTACACGGGAATGCATGCTATAATAGAGGTATAGCTGCTTGACACAATTTCGCGTGTGTAACTGCTGGACAGCACTTGAACAGCGGCGGAATCATCAGAATTACAGCGATAATAATTTAATATATTGTCCCTTACGTTCCAATACCACGATGTAATTACGAGGCACGCCGTACTCGACATTTTCGAAAATTTCAACCAACTGATGCTACTTAGCGTGCATAGAGGTTGCACAGTGCTCAAGTCTCTATCACACCGCCACCTTCATAAAATTGCGAGTTTCTCTGCCGGGATCGATATCCCCGACCTTCAATTAAACAGTCGTGGACACCGTAGCCATCGTAACACAGAGGCGGACGGCAACGTTATTATCTGAGGCAGGAATAGAACTCGGTGCAGTCGTCACTTACAGGGAGCAGTCACCGTGCTAAACGAGGAAGAAATATATAGACAGCCGACGGCTGCGCAAGGCCAAATTATTCGCAAAGTATATACAGGAATGCTTATTGACAGGCGGCACACGGCTTCGACGAAGACAACAACCCGATGCGGCATTGTTTTGTTCTCGATGGGGAGGAAACAGTGCAATAAAGCTGGTACTACCAATGAGGCCGATGCATCAGCGCGCGGATCAGTGTCGTTACAGCACGCGACGAGCGCGCCGCTCACGTTTGCCGAGGAAAAGGAGCGTCACGAACGTAAAGGTGATGTCTGTCGGGGAGAGGAATTCGGGCGAGCGGTGGAAACTGAGTAGTCCAGTGTTTCGTGAGTTGTCTCGAAAAAAAGGAATATGCTTCCCTATATGCTAGCCTAAAAGCATAGAGCTTCCTATAAACACACTAGAAGGATCTCTGGCACCTGTGTGTATGGGAGCTGCAGCGCACAGCGCTTCAGCGAGCATGGAAATGATGAGTATACTACACAGATTTGCGTAGTTTTTGGTACTTTACGTTCGTTTTGGCTTCTCGTCACTTGAAGCTGCTTTGTCATGAAACAACAATCGACAAATGATCAGCAGTTGCACTTCATCACCTTAATCTTTCAGGCTTATCATTTAAAATGGGGTCGCGAAGTCTAAAACGGTTTGTTATTTCTTTCGAAACAAAAGCAAAACAAAGCAATAAACGAATCCGCAAGTGCGATTCGCTGCCCGCAAGTACGAAGAATGTATATGCAAATCTGTGTGCTACCCACCATTCCCATGGTCCCTCCGGCAACTCGAGTGGACTCCGGCACTGCGAACAATCGCAGTGCCGGAGTCCACTCGAGTTCACTTGAGGAAACTCTATGCCTAAAAGGATTAGGAAGGCGAAAGCGTTTTTTCTGTTGCTTCTCAGTCGACTCTACGGACACCATTGCACGAAAGCTTTCCACACCAAATACAGTAATGAATTGCCTCCGGGATCAGAGGTGCTGTCTGCACTTTCTGCACCTAACCACCTCACGTAGCTTTACAGTGCCTTCAAGATCGGTCCATTTTTTACCAATCCGCCATGTGATGTGATGACACCATCATGGACGTGATGCGGTACTAATGTTACGTACTGAAAGAAACAAGAGTTACAAGTAAAATACCTCTAGTGGCCTTCGATGTGGCCGTCATTATCTATATACACACATCTCCGGCGTCGGTCGTAAAGCAGTTGATAGAAAGGACAAAACTGGGAGCAAACTTTTCATGTGGGAGCGCCCAAAAGCACCGTTTTAACACTTTGCCGGATATCCTCAATGTATCCTTGGCACTTTCATTTCCGTCTCTGAAGCATGTCAATTACTCATTTATCGACTTCACACACACATTTATC